TGACGCGGCGGTGCGACGCGACCGGGGCCGGCGCGCACATCCCGGGCATCTCCCCTGGGGAAAGGAAAGGGGCAGTTAGAGCAGGGCACCGGCACCCGGAGCAGAAACACGCAGCCCGTCCCGCGCACGGCGCCGTGGGCGAGGAGCGAGGCCGAGCGAGCAGGGGCAGGTGGGGAAGAGCCCGTGTGTGAGGGTCCTGCGCTGGCAAAAGCAAAGTGGGAACCACAAAACAACACCTCGCTCAACCCCGCGCCCACGAGGCTGCTCCCGCATCCAGGTGAGCGGGTATCACGGTCTCACCGGCTCCGGGAATGGCTGGCAAGTTCAGGCCCTCCTTGGAAGCCGAGGGCTTTCTCATCTGCTTCAGTTTGTCAATGCGGAGGTTTTCGAGTTTGTGGAGGGCCATGAGCCCGGAGGTGCCCATGGGCTCCCCGGGCACCACGTCCTCCAGCGTGGACAGGTCCTCGTAGCTGCCGCCCGCGTTGCCGGTCATCTCCACGCCGCTGTCGTTGTTGGTGGTGCTGCCGAGGGGCGAGTGGTCGCTGCTGCTGGACAACTGCCCACCCGGGCTGGGCTGCGGCTTCTGGGGAAACCCAAAACATCAGCGAAGGAAACAGCAGATATAGGATATTCGCTACACACTTAGGACAAACCGTGAATCCTGTCGTGTCTGGAGATGTCTCACCCACCCCCACGCAAAATGACCCTCTTCCAGAGCTGGGTGGGTGTCCCCGCGGCTTCACCCTCACTAGCTCCTTACCAAGGCCAGGTCAGGCACCAAGAGTTTGCTGTCATCCTTCCGCGCGTCACCAGGGCCATTGCTGTCCTTTTCCTGCTTCATATCAGGAGGGACGCCGGGAGCGGGCAGCGAGCGGCCTGGCACCACGTCGCCCCGGTGCTTCTTGGTGACGTGCGCGTCGGGACCGTGCACGGTCTTCACGTGTTTGCGCAGGGAGCTGGGGTCCGTGTAGCGCTTAGTGCAGCCTGGGATCTTGCACACATAAGGCTTCTGCCGCAGGAACATGTAGAAGTGAAGGAACGGAGGAGGGAGGGTGTTATTTCAAAATGCAGAACGCCTCCCAGCACAGCAGCCCCACAGCATGGAGTAGAGCACCCTCCTCGCTTCCAGCAAACCCGGGAACCGGGAAAGGACCAAGGAGACCGTGTCCCCTTGGAGGGGCACCTAAAGGGCTTCCAGAGGGCCTTGAGGAGGGTGCTGAGGAGCCAGGGCAGTAACGTGAGTGCTGGGCTGCACAGGAACAGGGCAGGGACAGGGGGGCCTTGGTGGGTGCCCTAGGAGAGGAGCAGGGGCCCATGCTTCATGGAGCGGGCAAGGAGAGAGTTGGCACCCACAGAAAACACCCGGACATACAGGGAGTCCGGAGGGTACAGGAGCAGCCAGGGGTCACAGGGGTGCAAAGGAGCCCCGGGTGAACCGTACCTCATTGGAGTGCGTGCGGTTCTGGTGCTTGGCTCGGTCGGAGGCGTTGGAGAAGGCCTTGTTGCAACCCTCGTGTTCGCACACGTAGGGCTTCTCGCCCGTGTGCGAGCGCAGATGCGTCTTGAGGTTCTCCAGGCGCGAGTAGGCTTTGTTACAGCCCTCAAACTGTGCGGCAGGCAGGGCGAGACATGCCACATACCTTGAACAGGGCTGTACCACATCACCCCACACTACAGACCCGCGACACGGCTGCCGCGGACGCGTCCCGCACCTCGCACGCAGCGCGGGGCCGCGTCCGCACCGCGCCGGCACGGACCAGGGCCCCTTAGTGTGCCGCCCTGACACACGTGCACCCCATCCCGTCCTAAACCACCACATTCCCGACCCCGTCTGTCCCACCTCCCACCGCGTCTGCCCCACTCCTCAGTGCCACCTGCCAGCTGGGGCCAGCACCCCTCTGCGTCCCCAAACTTTGCCCATTGCAAGTCCCCGTCACGCAGGGGGGCTATGCAGGGATCGAGGCGCTCACCGTGCACTTGTGGGGCTTCTCGCCCGTGTGACGCCGCATGTGCACCACCAACATGTACTGAGCCTTGAAGGGCCTCTGCTCCCGGGAACAGGCTGCCCAGTGGCACACAAATTCCTTCTTCTCGCCATGGATATGCTCGTTGTTGATATGCTGGAGAGAGAGAGGCATCACTGGGGGCATTGGGGAGGGCATCCAGGCATACGGGCATCTTAGCGGATATCATGGGAGGAGGTGGATGCAGGAGGACTGGGACACAGGGAATTAAGGAGATATGGAGTGGTCAGCTGGAGTCTGGAGGAGGCAGAGGATACAGGAGGGAGGTGAGGGTTATCTTGGGAGGACAAGGAGAAGATGAAGGGGTCAAGGTGATCTAGGGGGACGACCAAGGCCATAGGAGGGAGTTATAGTGGCTTGGGGAAGACACGGAGAGCCAAGCCTGGAAAGCACCAGGGTTCCAAGAGAACTGCCCCAGCAGGGAGGAAAGGCCATATTTGGGGGTGCTCCTAGAAACATTCCATGAGGGAATTGCCAAGAAGTCACCTCCAAGAAGTGGAGGATGCCTGTCCCTCCCTGCCTAGACGCAAATTCCAACATCGCTCACCCGCGTGGCGAGTTCTTAGCGGGGTTCAGCCCAGCATGGGTCAAAGGCAGGGCCAAAAGCTGACACAGAGGGATGTCAGCCAGCAGACTGGGGACAAATTGTAGGGCTGGGGGGCCCAGGCAGGACCCAACTCACATGCACCAGCTGCTCCTGCGTGTCAAATTCTTTGGCACAACCGTCCCAGTAGCAATTGGTTTCGTAGACAGTCTCAGCCTCAGTTTTCCCATCCTCCTTCTCCAGATCTTCCCGAACATCGAGCATCCCCAACAAGGGGTCCTGGGCAGGCACAGCTGGATTATCACTCCCAGGCACGACCCTTTGGCTCCCTGTCACTGGAAGTGACACTGGGGAGGAGTGCGGAGCCTCGGAGGAAGGGTCCCCAGGCCGGGGGGTGCTGTACCTGGGTGCCTGTGGAGGCCGGGCTGGAGACATCCCCCTCGGATCTCTCCTCAGGGTACTTGGCTGTCAAAGGGCTGCTCAGGCTCCGCTCCAACTTCAGCTGCTACCGCGACAGGGGAGAGAGGGGGAGTGAGAAGCAGACGGCAGCGGGATGCCCACTGGACCAGCCTCTACGGCGGACACACGGCAGAGACCCCGTCGCGGGCACGCGGGCAGGTGGAACACCCCCGTCCCCAGCGCGTTCTTCACATCAGAAGAGCTAATTGGCACCAGTGGGTCCCTGCCAAGCGCACAAGCCCTTACCTGGCAGTGCTTGAGGGTGCTGCGAGCCGAGGCAGGATGCAGCAGCCCCGCGCGGCTGGGCAGATGTTCATGGGAGCTGCACGGGGGCAGCGGGGGAGTGTGGCCAAACAGGTGCCCTTGGCCCTTCTGCTGGCCCGGAGGACTCTGATACCCCAGTGACGGGCTGCAAAGAGCAAGAGGGATGAACGGACGGCAGCAGCACGGGACAGCAATTTTAGACCCCATGAGCCAGGCAGGGAACCTGGGTGCGCTAGGGCACAGCCCCACTGCCCTCCTCGGGCACATAGCCCTCTGGGCTAGCTGCTCCCCCCTTCCCTAGCCCCTGCGGAGACTCCGCATTTTGGGCCCTGACACGCAGGTTCCTACATGGAGAGACCGTGCACGTGCCAGCAGGGCTGACGTCTGGTGCCCACCTGATGGTGCTGATGGAGAGATGGCCATAGGAGCCGCCGGTGGAAGCACAGCGGGAGTTGATGAAAGCGACGAGGGAGTTGGGCGAGGTGCGGATCACCGTCTGCAGGTCAATGCTGGAATCCGACAGGGGCGAGATGGACAGTGCCCGCTTCTTGCCCAGCTTGCCTGCACCACGGGGTGTGGAGAACCGTGAGCCTGGGGTGGTGCAGAGAGCGGGGGACACTCCTCTCAGCGTGGGTCCCAGGAGGCTGAAGATACCCCCAAGGACCCAAACGTGGTGCTACAGAGCCTGGAGGAGCACCCCGAAGGTGCCAACTGCTGGCTCTGGGCTATGGCAAGGATTAAAGCACCCCCCAATCCCCTCCATAGCTACCTACATCCCTGGAGGAGGCTGGACCCCTCGACACTCACCTGGTCTCTCTGCCCCACCAAGGGCCTCCTAAGAAAAGCACCTAACCTCCTCGGCCAACGATTGCCCTCAGCCACATCCAACAAATCTCAAAACAAACCCCCCCACACACAAAGCCCTTGCCTCCTGGCACATGCCCACGTCCTGCTCGTGGGCACCACTGTGCTCAGGAAGGGACCTGGAACCCTACACGCTCCTACCCTGTCACGGCCATCGCTGTCCCCAGCAGCGCCTTAGCACCTCATCACACACCTGCACCCCTGACACAACCAACACCATCCCCTGGGGTGCCTAAATCCCCTGCAACACATTTACTCACCCTGCCCCGGAGATGGGGGACTTACCATCACCAGTGCCCAGGTGCTCGGTGCCTGGCACCAGTCCATACCCATGGTGACTGCCCATGAGGTTCGACTGATGGCACAAGGAGAAGTCAAGTCCTGGCGGAGGGGAAAAGTGGGAGAACTTTTCAAGGTGCGGGCACACAAAGGGGATAAGCCAGGCCCTGGCCCTCACACATGAGCATCTCTGGACCCAGGGAAGAGAAATCAGGTGTCTATGACTGTGCCAGGGACCCCAGCGAGGCCGGGCCAGGCACTGGTCAGCACGAAGGCTCTGTGACCAACCTTGTGGCCCGGGGGTGCCAGGTGCTGGTCCATGGAGGGGACGCAGGTAGCAGTGCTCAACATAGCTGGTGACTGGGGGGTTCACGGGGTTGAACATGACACAGCAGGGCCTGGCCAGGCTCAGGGGCACATCTGGTCCTTGCACAGAGGCAGCCACAGGTCCCCAGGCAGGAGCCAGTCTGAGGAAGAGAAAGGTGGGAACACGCCGCATTCCAGGGAACCTCTCCCGGGCCCAGCCACCTCCTGCTGCATCCTCCCCAGCCCGGGCCGGGCAGAGACCCGGCAAACTCATCGCTCCGGTGGGTTCCCCGCCAGCCGCTGCGGCCCGGGGCCAGGAGGGG